TTAAAATCACAATGGGTCCCCCTGTATTTTAAATCCATTGTGCTTTGGCAATTTCAAGTTTTACCTGCTCATATAATTATAACTTATGCTCATAATTTATTTTTTCCATCCTTCCTCCCCCCAAATTAAAATGTTTATGTAACAAAAAATCTTGTGACTTTTTGGTGATATCTATCTAACCCCAATCAAGAAAGAGGTGAAGTTTCATTACTCTCTTCTTGTTGCTGAGTGTATAGGAGGGTATTTTTCCCTTTATGCCTTTTTCCTGTCATGCCAAGGTGTATTCTATTTCCTTCTTTACTGACCATACCCCTTGGAAACCATATATATATATTTATTTTTTTAATCTGTCTTTGGTAATCTCCTTAGATACTTCTTTTTGAGCCACTCCTGCTCCCTCGAATCATTTATTTGATTAAATTTCAAAGTCCTTCCTAGTCTGCATGAGAATGGCCTCTTCTTAAAGCCTGAGCCTGCTTCTTTAAATCCAGCAAACTTTTATGAACCTCATCCCTTCACATGGCCAACCCTTGATTACCAGGGCTAATGAAATGTACAAAAATATCAGATTACCTACAACACACACACACACACACCAAAAAAAAAAAAAAAATCAAGAAAAAAATGACATCTGGCTTTGGAATATATATCACATGTGCCTTTGGGCAAAATTTAATTTATTAATTATGTTTTTCCTTAAGCCAACATTATTAACATTTTCTTTTATGATGGTGGATATCTGCTTTGGTTTTAAATCTTGATGTAGTTAATTAAAAAAAAAAAGTATCAACTGTGATTTTTTCTATAAAGCCCTTTTAACTAGTTTTTTCAACCTGTTAAAATCTGTCATAAAATCTGGTTTCTGTTTTCCCTGATTTATCTTCTCCCCTTTCTTGGGATTCGGATCCAAATCAACTTTCCTATGTTAATTTACTGCTTCAATTTAAAGTGCTATTTGCTTGCGAATGCAAAGCATTTTTAAAAATATTAAATGTCCAGGGAAAACATCACTTTTTTTTTTTTTAGATATTCCAGGAAAAGTTGGTTTCTAAGATAAATTACACTGGTAATTCCAGCAAATTATATTTAGTAGGATAGTATGATTGATTGAAAAAATGAATATTGGACAGCAAGTCAGCTTCATCAATACTTAATCCCATAGACCAAAACTATGGAATTAAATTCCCAATATAGACATTTGTAGAAAATAACATCAAAACAAACTCACACATCAACCCCGGCCCTTCTGTCCCCAGCCTAAATTCTGTACCTACCTCAGACCTCATCTCTGCTTCACTTCTACACTTAAGTTTTAAACGTATAAGAAACAGAACTGAGTTAACAGGGTCTTCTCTTTCGGCCCCTTTTCAGTTACTGCCACTAAGCTTTTGGCCAGAGACCCCGCATCCTCAAGTTTACATGACTATTTTTACTTTACAGGTACTCATCTAAATGTAGGTTTATAGTGCTTGAACTGGCTTTTTCATACACTAGCCACCATATTACCAGCAGAATTAAGAACAAATTCATTTTTAATTTTCTCCCATGTGGAACTTTGATAAGTACAAATTATTTTACCTAAAAACCAACTTTTTGGTCTGGTGTAATTTAGCCCAAATTCTTACATAAGATGTTAAATATTACCACCACCCCCCATTTTTTTTAACAGCAATCTTCCACGCAGTCCTCAAACTCAGTCAATTCTATAACTTTTTTAAAAAAAATTTTTTCACAGTGCCTAGTCACATTTTGACTAAAATACCTACATAGACCCATAAGTTCTCCGTTTTTCAATTTACTTCTCCAGGTTGCTGCCTTCACCAAACACAGAACTCCACCAGTCTCAAAATTACGGTCTCCCAAGGTGGGTGTCCACCAATGTACATGATTCTCAAGGAAAAAAATAAATTAAAAAGTAACTCAACTGGTAAGAATTCTTTTCTTCTTTTAAAAATGTACCTGCACTTTTAAAATCTCTTTTCTTGATGGAGTTCAAAATAGTATCAATCCTTTGAAGAAACAGTTGTCACCTATGGGCACTCTCAATCCCCCCCATAAAGAGGCATTTTTCTGGCGGCCCAAGAACCCCAAATAGGAGTCATAAGGTCTTTCGTGGATGGTAAATTTCACACACACACACACACACACACACACACACACACACGAGAAAAAGAAACATACCTGGTCATTTTCTAAACAGGTTTGATAGGTTTGGTTCACTTGTAAGAGCAGAGTGTTTACTTACAGGCGTTTAACGCAGAAGTGGCGGCCAGAACACTGGGTAAATAAAACCTCGAGTTTTGAAAAGCCTGCACCTTCACGCACTTCCCCTTCGGTCGAGGGGCCGGCACACGGCAAACCCCACGGCCAGTGAGATTATGCAACAGGTTCCCTCTCCACTGGATTCATCGCGGGCTCCTCGGGGGTGTGCTCTCTCCCAGCAATGCGTGACACCCACCGCTGCAGGGCCTTTGCAGCTAACGTTTAATCATCTTTTTTAGAATTTTGCCCTACCCGTTCACTTTAAGATCTACCTGTATTTTGTCAAGTTAACTACGTGTGTGTGTGTGTGTGTGTGTGTGTGTGTGGTGTGTTTTAGGAAATAAACCCCAGTTTTGCCTAAATATTTTCCTCCCTGGTGTTTTATGACATGAAACCACACATGATAAACAGATCTTCGGTTGTCTCCCCGGGCCCTTTTTTTTTCCTTTTCTCATGTTTTAGGACTAGTGTGAATAAAGAAGTCACTGGCACACTGGGTCCCCCAACATCACGACCCGGGCCCTCGTTTGGAAAATCGGGGTGTAGGTGGGTGGGTTCGGTTTAGGAAAGCAGCGCCGTCCCCACCCAGGTGGCCCCGCTGCGCACACCGAGGCGAACTGGGGATCTCGGGGGGCCGTCAGCCGGGCCCCCCGCTGAGCCAGCGTGGGGGCGCAGCGAGCCCCCCCTGGAAGTGAGGGGTGTCCCCCCGCCCAAGACCCGGGCCCTCGCTTGGAAAATCGGG